AGTTCATAAAGAGTTTAAACTCCAGTGTGGTAAACTAGAGACATGTGATTTTAATATTTCATGAAATGCTAGCACTGATCAATTAATTAGTCTTTATTAGTCTTTTTAGTCTTTATGAGAACACAGTGAAAGTTTAACAGTTTAACAGTTTTTGCTGCAATGATAAAGTATTTCTTTCCTTGCTGAAGGCATATTTTGACAGAGCAGAATAATTGTACCTCGATGTACATAATGGAAGTGCTTAGCGCTATTCTATGAACTGGTTCTCCAGACTATCTGCACAATTTTCTGTTTCCTGCTGGGGGTTGTATTTCACAGACATTGATTTTTCTAATACACAGAGATGTAACAAAGGGGAAATCCAAGATTTCACTTTCAGTGTTTAATAATCAGTATAAATATTGTTCTCTTACTAGCAACTGATTTGAGGTTGTTTTTAAATAAGATTTTTTAATTGCAGCCAATACATTCTGCTACAAATTTGCTGTAAAACTTAAAACCTAGCAATTAAAAAAATAAACTTAGGATCACTCATTTTGTGTAATTATGAGCTGCTTTCACTGCTCTTACATGCAACAACTATCTACTCCATAGAGTCCGAGCACCTAAATAGTCCCAACACACCTTTTTTAAGTGAAGGCATGACAGCTATCAGAATCTGTTGCACAGGTTTAACAGGTTGAAGATCTGCATAAACCAATTATATGCTCTCCCGATGTTGTGTTCTCTTTTATGGAAGGCCATAACCCATTGCAAGAGGAGTGGTAAGCTGTCCATGCTCCCTCTAGCGACTGGGAGGACTGCACCACTTCAGGAAGAGTACTGTCACTCTAACGCATAGGGCTGTCCATGCTCCCTCTAGCGACTGGGAGGACTGCACCACTTCAGGAAGAGTACTGTCACTCTAACGCATAGGGCTTTAAGAGATAAGTGCTTTTCCCACATATCTGCAGGACATGAACACCATATACTTGAGCTGCAAAAAAAAAACAGAAATCAAGCCATCATAATCAATATGGAGAAAGTTAGAGTATGCATTTTTATGTCTTTCAGTAACATTCACAAGATACAAGGACAATTTGTTTTTGTGTGGTTATACACATACTATAAATTCATGTTATATAATGTGGTTACCTAGAAGATGCAAAGCTTTTATTTAATATACCTTATATGTATAAAAATGTACAGTATTTATTCACAAAGATTCTTTTTTCTTTGAATGTTAGGCATGTTACATGGCTCGTACTCTGGGAACGTTCCCTTGTCAAGATACTACACCACTACCATATTCAAACAACATTTATTTCACCTGATTGAAAACTACTAAACCTGCAATGAAAAGTGCAGTTTAGACTGTTTAACTGTGGTCAACCTTGAGTAATCAGCCTAAGTCCCTGCTCCTACTTTGTTTAGCTAAATCGGACACGGGATACAAAAACCATACCACAGTTCATGAGACACTGGCTGTATGGAGCATAGAAAAAAAATGTAAAAGAATTTGCAGATTTTATTTTGTAATATAATAACATCATAACAAGCATGAATGCTGAATGCCTTCATTACATTTATGTGCCTTGTATAAACTGAGAGGTCTAAATCAGCTAAACTGATCGGAATGGTTTATTCTGTATAATAATTATGCAATGTTTTTTCATGGGAAAGTTTGAAACATGTAATAGGCAGTACATGGAATAAGATAAAATAACCCTTACAATCTCAGTACAGTATTTACAGTTTAGTAAGAAACATATTTTCTATGTAATTAATAATTACAAATCAAATTATGTTAGGGTATTCTAAATCCACACATCCATTATGAGGATCTGGTTATTCCTGGTAAAGACTGTGGTACTCCAGAGACTGTTCAAGGAGGAACTATACCTTGGCCATATCATTTGTATTTTTTCTTTCAGGTCTCCTGATGTCAGCGAGGCTTCTGGAAAATCCAAACAACTGCAGCAGATTTCTTCCCCTTCTTCCCTCTCTCTTACTAATCTCACCTGCTCTGTTCTCCTTCTACCCCCATTCTCTCTCCATTTCTGATCTAGTGTTCAATACACCACACCTACGGCTTCAACCTATATCTGTTGTTTAATCTCTTCCCTTCTCTATCCTTCATTTCAATGTTGTTTCAAGTGACCCTGCTTGATGACTTCCACTCCACTCTGAGGGTGTGAGCACATGGTGTCTTTCTGCAATGGATCCAGGCTTCCTCCCTCACACCCCTCTGTCCCTATTGCTAAACTACCCCTCCTTTTTTTTGATCGGTATCCAACTGGTTGGTGATTGCCCTTGACGTTTCCTTCTCTCAAATCTTCCATCTGCACACATAGCTGATAATCATTCTCTTTCTAAAGTTCAGCTCAGAATACTGGACTTTCTAATCCATTACACCAAGAAAACATCAGCAAACAGCACCTGCGTTTTCTGCTGCCCACCACAGAGTCCCAATGCCAAGGTAGCCAGTGCAGATACCAGCTAACTATTAGTCCGCCCTGGCTTATACCTCATGAGTGAGTGGGGACGTGACAGCACTCTCTGAGCAGCCAGATGAGTTAAAGCCAAAGTAATAACCACACTATCTATACATGTGTTGACTCGCTTTGTCATTATTAGAATTTGACTGAACAGACAATTTAGAGACCTGATTGGTTGGTCTGTTTGGATGATTGACCATACTCTGTGACTTTTAAGATTACCCTGATGTCCCCCTGCTAGACTTGCAGGCACCAGCACTGGACATCCATTTAGGGATTATTGACACAGGATCTGGACTGCCCTGGTAAGGATTCTTATCCAAAAGACAAACTCATAACCCTTATTTGCCCAAACATAAAGACCACTAGGTCAACCTGTGACAGTGGTCACAAAGAGTGGCCTCTTTAGCTACATTCTTGTGTAAGGCAACAGGCTGGTTGGTTAAGGCACACAAAGATATATTAGAAATATTTAATAACACTTATTTTAAGTGAAATATTTGGCTTTATCCCCATACCATTATGAAAATTAGAACTCTCTTTTGAATGGAGTCTTATAGTGTATTTTTGGTTAATTGTTGTCTCTTAATTGCCCTTGTGTGCCTATGTGTAGATGTGCATCACCCTTCGTTAGACTTGAGTCCCATTGTGAGTGTAATACTGCCTTGCACCTTAAGCTACTGGGAAAGCCACAACTTTTACTAGAGTTTCTATTAATGAAGGATTTCAGATACTGTAGAAAACATTGTTTCCAATACATTGAAATAGTGCATCAGAAAATTTTGTATTAGCCTTTTAACTAAAGTTTTTTTTTCTTCAGGAGTTAGTTTGTATTTTATATTCTTGACGTAATGGAGTAAATTCTAAGCATTTTTTTCTAACGTGAAAATCAGTGTTCCTCATGTAGATTGTGTTTGGCACCACGGTTATGCAATTAATTACTGTTTGGCATTTAGTGGAAGGATTCACAAAATCACAAAAGATGTACTTGTACCTTGTCCATTCTCATACTTCCCATGAGCAGAGAGAGAAAGCAAGAAATTCTTCATTGTCTTTTTCACATTGGTGGGTTACAATAGGATTTCAGGAGATATTTTAACAATAATGATCTTCACTCATTCTAGGACTTGAAATTGCAATGCAGGTGGTTCTTCTTTCTTTTTATATTTATGTCTCCATTCTTGCTGTCTAACACCCAAAGCATGTGTTGACCCAAGGATCAAAACAAAGGAGTGGACTTCTATTTATGTTTTGTTTATTCAAAGATGCATACAAACCCTTATTTGAGTAGTTTAGTAAATTCTAAGTAATTCTAAATACAACAAAATAAATGTAAATGTATAGTAAATGTAATATGTTAGTGTTTGTAATTAATTTATTTGTCTGAGGAATTGATAGTCATGGTTGTATGGTCAAGGCTGTCTAAGTCAATTAATTTACAAGGTACAGTATAAACCAGGGAGGATGTTACAATGGTGAAGACCAGGGTGGAGAGTGGAGTGCAGATCTGAAAAGATACTGTACACACAAAGGGATTCAAAGGGTTGCACAGCAGGGTTGTATAGTAAGTAAGAGAGTGAATGTGTGAGATTGCAATTCGGCCTCCTCCTGAACTTATTTAATAGCTGAACCCATTAACTCAGACAATATTTAGAATAATAGTAGTTCTGCTTCTATAATCCTAAAGATCATGTGATCCACTTATGTTTTCTTAACAAAATATATTTATTTCCCTAGAAAACAACATTAAATGCAACTAATTCTTCTGTGTATGGGGAGGGGGAGTGCTATGGAACATTTTCCCCTGCTTTGGGAGTGTTCAGATGTGGGTTCTTTTTCTTCCCAAGGCCCCCAAGGCATGCAAGCTTGACTACCCTAATAGAGTCAGAGCACATGGTGAAGCTAACAACATTGTCAGAAATGAATGTGTCAATTACAAAGATTTTTGTTGGTTTTTGTAGCAATTTGTAGTGGTAATTGATGATGACAAGTTGACAAGTTAATATTTTTTGTTTAATTAAAAGAACATCTTTGCATTCAGAATGAATCATGAATCCCTTAGTTTATTATCTTTGCAAGATCATAAATGTGAGTGGTACAGTGGCATTACAGTAAGTATTACTACCTGACAGCTCTTGGGTCCTGATTCAAATTCTATCTTGTATGTGTGGAGTTTCATGCTCTCATCATGTCCATATACTGTATTTTTTCTTTGGGTGCTCCAGTCTACTCCCACCTCTCAGAGAGATTCTGACTAAAATAAATGGTGTTTTTAAATTGTGTATGTACTTGTAAGTGTGTGTGAGCCCTGAAATGGAATAGAATACTGAGTGTAACTCCACCGTATACCCTATATTTCTGGGACAGGCTCCAAGTTGCTATGACCCTTAACAGGAATAAGAATAATATTGATAATGAAGAGACAGAACATAAAAGACTATATGATTAAACAATATTTGATTTCACATAAACTTTATGATAGAGGTCTTGATTTTTTCTTAAAAAATCCTGATAAAAAACAAGTTCAGTCCAAAGCATACAGTCTTTATTTATATACAGAAAAGAATACATATCAGAAAAAAAGAAAACAATATCTCACACTAAGCATTCACATGCACAATATTACAACTAGTATAAAGCTGCAAAGCAAGTGCACTTTAAACAGCAAATTACAACCCATTCTCTAAAACCAGACCAACAGGTGAGTTTGAAGGCTGTGAATCACTCTTGGTTGAATGTGTGGGAGACATTTCCATGAAGCATCCAGGTTTTAAATTCCCATCCAACTATTTCCATCGGCCACCAACTTTAGTTTTCGTTCTTCCACCTTTAGAGCTGCATAAAAAACAGCATGTTACCAAAGCAGCAGGAGGATACAATAGCCTAAATTTTGGTCACTTTACAGCTGGAAGAGAATGTTTGAAGAGAATTTAAAATGCCATAACTTTTGAAACAGATTCTCTGTCACCTCAAAATGTATCCAGTCAAGACCAAATTTATAGAAGAACCCATACCTTTTTTGTTATGACATTACAAAATGATGCATATACTGTATATTATTTTGTATTCAAAATCTTAATCCTCAGACTAAATTTTATCTAAGGGTAAAATAAGTTGCAATAAATGTCAGCAAAAATTTACAATCAAATGTGTTGATTGTATTATATATTCAGATCAATAGACTTAATATTTACTAGTCTTTTTGGGTATGTTTCTACCAATTTTGTACACAGGTGTGGTGCAATCTTTGCCCATTTTTCTTGGTAAATTTGATTAAGAACTCTCAAGTTCCTTGGGCATAACTTACTGAACAGACATTTTTTTCCCGTTTTCCACAGATTTTCAATAGGATTCAACTCACACCTTTTACATGACTACTCAAAGACATTAACTTTCTTGTCCTTAAGCCACTCTAGACTTGGCGTGTACTTTGAGTAATTTTATTGTTTAAAGGTAAACCTTGATCCTAATTTAATGTCTGGGAACCTGTAGCGGGCTTTCCTCTAATAATGACCTACATTGTGTTCAGTACATCTTCCAATGAGCCTTGACAAGCCCATCCCTTTTGATGAAAACCAGCCCAATAACATAATACTGCCCCAACCATGCTTAACAGTAGGGATGGCATTGATTGGATGATATGCTGTGTTGTTTGCTCTAGATGTACCATTATGCATTTACACCAAAAAGTTTTAATGTTGTCATATCTGATCACAAATAAAATTTGTTATATGTTTGCAGTTTCACTTAAATAATTTGTTGCAAGCTCCTTGCAGGATTTGAGACGATTTTTTCAGTAATGGCTTTCCTGCCACTCTGCCACAGAGGCTCTGTGAGAATTTCTCAAATCTCAGCAATTGAACTCTGCAGTTTTTCAAAGTCACTTTTGGCTTCACAGTGGCTTCCTTAACCAGTTGACTTCTTGGCTGGATGCTCTCTCCTGCCTTAGTAGCCTCACCTAGCAGGTGGCTATACACCTTTTTATGATCAACTTCACCATACTCAAAGCGACATTCAGTGTCTTTCAAAACTGATTCTGATCTGCTGATTTTTGCCTTTCTACATCTTTAGTCCTTAGTTGTTTTGAAAGCTCTTTGGTCTTTAAGGTTGAATTTAAATTGATTTAAATTCATTACCTGACTAAGGTACCTTACAGAGGCAGGTAAATTTACTGTATTCTGAAATCATGTGAATCAATTCAATCGTTTCACATGGTTGCCCCAAGGCGCTTAACAAAGAAAGTGACCAAACATGTTCTGAATACAGAACAGAAAAGACCAGAAGACATCAGTGGAAAGGAACCAAAAACCTCTAGGGATCCAAGGTCAACTGGCTGCCCAACCCCTTTGGGCATGCTAACATTATACAATAAAAAAGGAAAATCACTATTATTGCACACAGACATAGGCCCTTCAACTAATTTTGAAGCTTGTTATGTTACTTTTGTCACCTAAATTATTGTTGGTTTACCACAGGTAAGGGTTTGAATAATTATTGAATTATGATCTTTCCATTTTTCTGTCCTTTTGTCTATTTTTGTCTTTGTTTGATTTTGCTTTGAGTTTTTGGAACAAGTTGTTTATAAAAAAAAATATTAATTGCCACTTCATTTTGTCATGACCACAAAGTTTGATGTAACAAAATGAGGTAAGTTTATTTAGTTTAATTCTCTGTAGGATGACATATCACTGCCAGTTAAGTAACAATACCATGTGTTCACTATTCTGTCCTGATGATATATTTGTGCAAACGTATAATTAAAGTTTATTTATTGCTCATTTGTGAGTTTCATACAACTATTAATTTTGAAATTATAGTAAGATCAGGGATCATAGTTTACTTGGCTCTTCCTGACTTAATCTAATATTTAGTAATGGTGTTTTTCTTCCTTTAATGATATTTATACTGTTCTTCAAATCATGTGCATGACATTCAATTAATAGATTACAGTATGCTTTGTGTGAAGCTGATCTTTTTAAATCCTTAAGGATACAAAACAATGGGCCACATTCATAAAAATATTTTCTGAACAGCTAAACTGTCTGCACTATTTTCGTGAAGGGAAAAGACAATCTTAACAAGACCCTTCAAGTTTGGCAGGCTGACAGATGAAATACTTTTCAACTTCCTTGTGTTTGTTTTTCTTTTTAAGAAGGACATAACATGTAAAGATAGTGAAGGGGTAACAGTGGAATAGGGTCCAGTATCTGTCAGTATAAAATCTATGACTTAGCTTTTTTGCTATAGACTTACCTTGACAAACCTGACAACTGCAATGAATGATTAGAAAACTGTGTACCTCATACCCTGTGCAGTTTTTTACCCACATAATTTCAAATGTCTTCTTAATACCAATCTACACTATAATTTATTTTAATTTTTTATACAGGATTGATTATCTTCTGTCAGTCATGCTGTCCAGGCATTGTAATCAAATCTACACAAGAAGCATCAGTGATGCAGCAAAGCTTGGTGCTCTGTGTTCTGTTCAATTTCTTTATACTTCAGGCCCATTTTTATGCAAGTAAGAGTGTAAAGAAATAAATTAGCTATATAATGCTATGCAAATGCTTTATTTTTAAGTGTCATATCATCACAAAGTTGTGTCCCAATTGCCCACTATTGCCCAAACAGCATATGATACTTGCATAGATTCTGGCCAGTAAAACTAGTGGCAACTAGTTTCCCTGAGTCCAATTCAAAATCCTGCATATGAAGTGGATGACCAGCTGAGATGTCATGGGTCATCAAAAAAAGATATGGCATAGTGCCATTCCATCTGCCATTGGTACATATTGTAGCAAAAGTCATATGATGTAATTTCCAAACCGCTTTATATCATATAGTCTCATGGGAAGCCAGAGCCTACCCAGCAAGCAACGAGCTCAAGGCAGGGTGCACCGTGGACGGGGTGCCAGTCCATCGCAGGGCAAGTTGTAGCAGAAGTATTGTATTTAATAAACTATATGCCTGTAACGTAATGGAATTAAAATATAATTTCATTAAACTGTATATTGTGTTATTGAAAATGTTGTTTGGTTATACAGTTTTGGCAGCATCTGTGCTATATTGTTAATGACAAATAAATAAATAGGGAACACAATACATATATCGGATTTTGGTTTTTCTTTCAGAGACAAGAGTAGATTACCAGTTGCAGATGAAACACTATGCGAGTGGAAAGCACATATGGTAAGCAGTGTAGATTTGGTGCAAGAATATGATCACTCCCTTTTTTCCCATTCTTTCGCTTTACCCTGGGGTGTTGGTGAATTAATCGTGTTGGAGAATGAACTTAGTAATTAAACCAGGTCATGTGACAATACATTTGACTAGCTATAGAAAACCAAACTTCAGATGAAGACAACAGAGATTGTCATTTCCTAATGTCAGTCATTAATGTTTGCATTCAAGAGTTTAGAGCATTTTTTAGCCAAGAAAAACATTTGGGCCTACTGACAAAAATGAGGGAGATCAACAACAAGCTGTGGAGAACAAAACATCAAGGATCAGAACTAGGTACTAGTATGGTTCACTAAGAAAAGTATGGTTTTCAGTAGCTCCATTAAAAACAAAAGGTAGAGAAGTCATCAGGAAGTTTGGAGAAAAACGTTTACCCCTCTGAATTACAAGCACAGTGTTGACAAATATTTTGTGGGATACTATAGCTAAAAAACACTAGTTCCACCCACTTATTAAGATGAAATTTCTTGCAAAGCTTTAAACCAAAAAATGTTCAGCAATTGTAAAAAAGGCTTTAGGAAGGTTTGCAAGTCATGACAAATCCCAACTGCTTCAAAAGAGCATAGATTAATGCAACTGCTGCCTGCTCAGGAGGTAAACTGTAGAAATGACAGAAGCCTCCAAAAACCTGTCTTCCATTATGTAGCTGGCATTTCAGGTAAGTTTTTGTTTTTCCACATGCAAATACATTGTCATATTTAAACCATTAAATGGATGTGTTTTTTACTTTGTATCCCTTACTATTATTTATGTTATAAATCACGTTTTATAAATATATATGTTTTATGTATTATAATAAATGTTATTATTTATTTTTAATAACAGTGTAACAATGCAGAGAAGCTACTATTGAGTGAGTGATACTAACTTCAAAATATACTGCTTGGGTCAACTGGCCTCTTCTCATTTGAAATGTTTCTATGTTCTTCTGGTTATTTTTAAATCTTGATAAAATACTTTACGTTAATAGAAACATTATGAGGAGATCTGCAATCTTAGTATGAACACAATAAATTCTTATCTTTACAGTGTTGTATGGGCATTTCAAAGTGGACAGTTTTGGTATCCAAAAAAATAATAATCGCTCACCTTTTTCTATGTGCCATGAAAACCAAGCATGAAGGAGAAGGCCGTTAAAAAGCAAAGCAAAGCAGTTAATGAAATGAAACAAAAACTACAATTTATTGTTAGTTCTTAAACATTAGATTTTTGTCTTAACATGTTTTATTAAGGTGAATTATTAGCTCTCAATTACTCATTGAAGCACCTTTCCTTAGAAAGATGTTATTGTACCTGTGTAGTAGTGCTTTTTTAAAGTTATACTGTAAGTATACTTGTATTGCCTTTGTTTTAGTATGGGGCTTCCAATTTCTAAATGTATAAAATACACCACATCAGCTTCTTTTAAAACTAGAATATCTGCACGCACTTCCTTGAAGCCAAAATTATGTTTGATTGTTTTTCTGAGATTTTTTACCTCAGATTTTGTTTCCTCTTTTATGTTAGGTCTAATTCATTTGAAGAAATTCTTTAAAATAAAAATGTCTAACCCATTAGTATGCAAGAAGAAGATAATTTACGGCAACTGTGAGACTTGCGAACTGTTATGGGCCTTATACAGTAACTGGTTTAAAGTTATGACTGTCAGTATCTGTCATGAATTAGTAGTGAACTGACACAATATAATCAGTTAGTTATGAAAGAGAAATAATATGTGACAAGTTGTGTTTCTCTCTTGGGAAGAGTCCAGAGAATTAATAGATGCCCCTGGCAATTCCATGTTTATGTTAAAGTAAAATACAAATAAATAACATTTCTTAAAGGTTAACATTTTTGTGATTTATAATAGGTGATGTTAGCTTTGTAATTGCAGTAAAATAAAGGACTTTCTTGTTTATTTCATTAAGATCGCATATTGTATGTACTGTAATTATGCATCTTTAAAAGACAAAGAAAAGTTTCAAAATATGACAAAAATATACATAATTTTCAATAAGACATCTGAAGTCTCAGACTGTATGTCACTGAAGTAATTTCTGGAAGTAACACCGAAGACATGTAAGTAAGATACAGAATGTGCAGGACACACTTTAGTAAGCAGGTGTAACAGAAAAAACGCAAAAGCCAGAGACTGGTTGATCTGAAGTCCACCCAACCCCAGCAAGATTCACTAGCTAGGGAATCCAATTCTCAGTCAAATCATGACATAAAGCACGTTCAAATTAGAAATATCTGGACAATATAGTAGGAAGTACAGTCTTGGTGTTGTATGAAAGGTTTCCATTGGTTATAATAAACAAACAAATAGGCTAATATCCTATATATCCTTTCGAGTGCACTGTACACCCGTTTCATCTTTGTACTGCCAGACAATGCTTTCCATACTTTAGTTAGTTTTCAAGAGGTTGATGTGTGTTGGGCCATGGGTGCAGGGGATAATTTATTCAGACATGGGAGTGGGCTCATATAAAACATCACTACTGTGCCTCTGTGTCTCTGGTGACTGAAGGCTGGGTGAAAATACTTACACATTCTGGTGGTCACTAACTCGATTTCTCAGGACATTAATCTGGAAATGATTAAAAAAAACAATTATATCTTGCTTATTATAGGAGCATATTGCAGTGCATTTGCAACAGATACATGTACAGTAACAGAAAGTTATATTGCTTGACATATTGTATTACAGCTAGCAAAATCCAAACTAAATATGAATTTAATCTTTTTAAGGACGTATGTCACCTGATTTTCCATGACATTTTAAATATTAACTGTTATTTAAATACAAACAAGCATGATAATGCCAAAAAAAATTCTTTATAGTGCAGAAATTAAGCTTGTGCACTCCCAATATATTTATGTCACCTTTGAATGGTATTTCATGCCATTTTACCATTGTTTAATTAAATGTAGTCATTTCATAAATAGCCAAAATACTGTATATTTTATCAATTAAATGTTTTTGATACAGTTTGTGTATGAAGTAGAAAAAATAAATAAGAATCCATATAAGTGAAATAATAAATGAAACCCCAGTTTACTTAGCACAATTAAGGGGTAATAAGAATCAGGTGGTTAATCATCAATGGAGAAATCTAAGTGTCTCACGGTTTTCCATGGCTTCTAGCTTGCGATCACACCTTATTTTGGCCTGTTCTCCTAATCACCAATCAGGACTCCAATTATGCCATTATCCCTTCCCCTATACATAGTTCAGAAGCACTGCCTTCCACTCCACCCTCCAGCGTTTTCTCTCAGGAACTTCACTTCAACTTCAACCAGTCTACTCCTGCCTGGAACTTCTCTTCTGCTGTCCCAGTCTTGCCGTTAACCTGGCTTCATCTTTGAGCAGCTTCACTTTTCCAGAATCCCAGGACTCATCTCTGACTGTTTCCACCCCGCTGCTGGAAGGTCTTCAGTCCGAGCAGACATTATAGACTGCCCTCACTCCACCTGGCATCTTCATCTGTTCTCGGGATACCTCAAACATACCTAGCCTTCTTCCCATATCAATGTTTCGCCTTCTTTTTCTTTTCTCTCTTCCACTCCCACCTTCCTGCTTCCCAGCAGAGCCTACCTTGTTCCTGGGCTTCCGTTCTCTGGGATCTATCTGGCAGCCACAAGAGGAACAGAAACCATTAGCCCTCAGAGGACCCAGTCTTAATGGTTGACACATCCAGCTCAGTCTTGAGTGTGCCTTGATGGCTCACGGTGGCCTTGTCTCGGGTGGAGACCCCCTTTAGTGCATATGTACTGTACAATGTGGAATTAGGGCACCTCCCTTAGACTGCCCTTGTGTGAGTGACCCTCCTGGCATCCTTCATGGACCTCTCCGCCTTCCAATGTACTTTGGGGGTATGTGCAGTTCTGGACCTCGGAGCTCCCCTTAATTTCCTTTTTACCATTTCACTTCCTCTTTTTTTTCTTTTATTTCTTTCTTCAGGTCCACCTTCAACAGTGGAGCTTTCCTTGTTCATGGAATTCCATTCCCCTGGGTTCGTCTGGGAGCTCTGCCGGTGACTGTTTTGGCCAGGGTGACTTCAGGCAGTCATGAGAGGATCAGAGACCAGGATCCTTTTGGACTCAGCAGTTGACACTTGCAGCTTGGTCATGGCTCTGACGTCTTGATGGTGCACTGGCCTGATCTAGGGAGTAGAAGCCCCAAAGAGCACACATTCCATATAGTCTGGCATTGCCACACCTTCTAGTGGTCCATCCCCAACATGAGCGTCCTGACCGGCCTTCTTGCTGGACTTCTCCTCCTTCTATATCACCCTGCAGCTAAGTACAGCTCCAGATCTCTCCCCTTTCCTTTCTCCTTTAGTCCTCCCTTTCTTCCAGGAGCTTTTTGACTGGTCCCAGCCACTGTTGGGCTCATCGTTCATTGCAATGATTGAGCTCCAAGTCCATTGGTTCCAGTGCCAAGCTCACTTATCTCCATACTATCTGGCCAGGGCTATCATAGCCCCGCCAACCAGTATTTAATCATTCAATTTAAAAATCTCAGGGCTTTTCTTGAAAAGAATAGGTGTGTTACCCCAGTGTCCTGGCCAAATTTCCTCCTGGCTATTACCAATCATGGCCTCCTAGTAATTCCTATCTATGAATTGGCATAATTATTATGTTCTCCTTCCCACTGATAGCTGATGTGTGGCAATCATCCAGATGGGTGCTACACACTGGTGGTGGTGGAGGGGAATCCTCAATACCTGACAAAAAGTCCAGGAAAGCACTACTGTATGTAAGTGTAAGGAAATATTATTATTAATGACAGCAAAAAAAGTTCAAATTCTAACTAGCAGTAGCTTTTTTCAAACAGTTTTAATGATGTCTTCTCATCATTAAAGTCCTCTTGATATGAAATCCCCACCAAAAGGGACAGCATAAAACTGTGAGCATTTTATTGCTCTTGTCCTGTCATTTTTTGGTTCACAAAATGCATTATAGTAGTTGTTTACTTTTTTTGCATAATGTATAAAGGTGAAAAAGCCTTGGTTCTGCAAAACTACAGATTTTAGTCTGTGTGTGTGTGTGTTTAAAGCATCACTAGTAAGACCTAAAAATAATGAGTATTTTACAATAAAATAGTTGGGTGCTGCACATTGGTGGTGTTGGAGGGGAGTCCCCATTACCTGTAAAGCGCTTTGAGTGGAGTATCCAGAAAAATGCTATATAAGTGTAAGCAATTATTATTATTATTATTAATATAGCAATCATGGATTCATACAGATTAAAAACTAGATAAACCTGTAGTCCTCTAGTTGGATGCCTTTAATAAGACTCATAAAAAAGTAAAAAAATAATTCCAATTCAAGGGTCCAAACCTATACCATAATCTGCACTTACTTCATATTTCTGCTTCTTAAATTTGTACTGCAGGTCAAACTTCTCTGCCTCCAGCTGGTGCATCCACTTCCAGAGTTCCTTAGCTTTATCCCTGAAGGAATGAGATTTTATTCAAACTGTAAACTTCAAGATGAAACTCGTTGCTTAAATAAACACTTTCAAAACTTTGCTGGAGTACAATATATTCATTCTTTTTTCAGAAATCAGAGTTTCATTAATAGAAAAATCGAATTTTAAAATCAAAATATGTATTTTGATTCTCTTCTTCTTTCCTAAATTGTATGTTATTAGATTTGAAACTTCAAATATTAAAATTATTGATATAATATTTGCCCTGGAGCACAATACTTTGAAAAACAGAAAAAAACAGAAAGTATTTGCTCAATGAGAAACACGCTTACTTTAGTTTGTCTTCACTGAGGTTGTCGATATTCAGTGGCTTTCTTCGATCATTGAGGATTTTCTTCTTTTTCTCTCTCTCGGTCTGTTTCTTTCCGACCCGCCTCTCAGTCTGCAGTGATACCAGTTCAAAACCATGACTTCACATCATATTTGACCTGACAAAGGTATTTTTCAACTCAAGGCAATCGAAATTTAATCCCCCCATCTAACAAAAACTGGAATTTCGCCTGTTTTTCTTAGCAATTAAATACTGGAAGCTAAATGAAACCCTAAGGTGAAGATAATTTGAAGGGATATGTTTGCTTTATGTTTCTCTCATTTTACACAACAATGTTTTATATAATTATTTACCAAAGACATAAATGTGTACAGTAGCTGTGAGATTGAATATTGCCTTTTACAGAATTTGCAATAATTATACTTAGCTTCCTGTTCCCAATAAGATAAAGCCAGTAATAAATCATTAGAAATAAAAATATAATAGGAATCACTTAGAAAGAATGAGAAATGTGAAACAAAAAACAAGAAGATAAAGAAAATTAATCTGTTTCTGTTCTTGGATTTGCACCTTTTGGTACTAAATGTTACAGAAGTAATTTTTAGGCTTTATTGACAGTCACCACAATGTGACCTCCATGAATAAGATAACATATGCACCACTGCAGTCTTTTTTAGTTTTTTTCAATGCCTTTCTTTATCATGTAATTGTGCTATGTGGAAACAATTATGATATATTTATTAAAACCATTTTGTTTTTTGTTTACAAAAATTGGATATATTGTTGTTATAATTGTTGCTATTTTATTTAAAATTAACATCTGTCCATTGATTTTCTAAATGCTTTATCAAACACAGGGTCATGAATGAGCTGGAGCCTCTCCCAGCAATAACAGGTGCAAGGCAGGATATACCCTGAATGGGACACTAGTCCATCACAGGGTACACAAACAGACACACCAGGGGCAATCTTCCCAGAAGCCAATTAACATACCAGTATATCTTTGGACACTCAGGCAAAAATGAGGAGAATATACTGTACCAGCCCTCCATAGATAACATCCCAGATCTGGAACTGAACCCAGTACTGTGAGGCAACAATGCTAATCACTTTTTTTCCATCCTATCCCTTAAAGTAAAAAGTTCATTTCAATAGACTTGCATATTGCAGTGAAAATAACAGACCTTTAGCTTAATAAATGTGTAGAGAAAAATAAATGGTGTTAATTATGAAAAACACTGCAAATACATCTATTGACTAAATGTGTAAATATTACTACAGTTTCATTTTATATTGGTTTCTAATATTGTTTATAGTAGTAGTGTACCTCAGGTTGCTGAGTGAAGTTTGTGAAGATATTGATCAGTTTGAATTAAAGATAGCTAAATGAGAAGCTTGGATTCTTATCCAAACTATAACATAGGTAAAAAGAAAGAGAAGACTAAGTATACCTGGTATAAGTATTCACATTCCTCAAAGCCAGTGATAAAAGTTATCTCAGTGATCTTGTTCAGTAATTCCTGATGCATAAGAGGTCTAAGACTTGTATAGCAGTGCAAATGTTTTTACCTTTTGAAGGTAACCACCAAAATGAATATTTGTGAGGTTTTTCTTCTTCTTAGCATCTTCTTCTGCTCTCTTCTTTGCCTCCTCTTCCTCCTTCCTTGCCTTTTCCTCCTGAAAAGGTCTATGTAAAATCTCATGTATTCATAGATTTGTTTGCAGTATATAATATGCTGTTTTCAGTACATAGAACAGTATACTATATATATATATTCATATCTGCATTGCTAGCAACACAATAAGACATATTTAGAGTTAACTGTGATGGTCACTTAAGACCGCAAAACTGACCAATAGACTGACCAAGCTCATACAGTACGTGTGCTCAATGAGCAATCACTTATTGTCTTTTGCAACCTCAAAATCTGTGATCACAATTAATTTAGGGAGATTTTAAAATGTTAAATCATTATTGGCTGAAAAATAGATCATTTTGACCAATGGAATTTTTATTTTGTAATATTCATAATGATCAGACAGAATAAAAATAATTGTAAGTGATATCCAGACCAGATTTATCTGACCCAGACCTGACATAAAGTAATATGTGGTGAAGTAGATAATTTTTTAAAAAGTGTGTTGTGGTTTTGATTAGTAAAACCAATGCACTTACAGCCACCCTGTTCTGTCTCTCTTTCTCTCTCTCACTGCGAATCCTCTGCTGCTCAGCTCTTTCAGAGCGACGATGCTCCTACCAAAAGGGGAAAGCAGTCAGAAATAAAAATGCTTTACTATACTGTTTAAGAATTGGAACAGAAAACTGTGCTACATCTTTTTATCAGCTTTTAATCATTTTCAGTCTTTTTATTTCAATGTAAAAATATTTTTTTGTTGTTTTGATCCAAATGAAATTAAAATGATAAACCAATATTTAAGAAAAATATGTATAAATATGTGTGGGTAAAGACGTTTACAAGTTTATTTTAAAAAATGTCTCGTACTATAAATTTTGCAATGAACAAATTCTTCCCTAGAGTAAGAGACTTTGAAGAATTCCATACAAAATACATTGCATGTAATTGATAAATAGGGATTATGTCATGTACTGTCCAAAGAAAAGTCAGTGAGCATAACTTCCCCCAGTGAGCAAACTGAAGGTGGGGTCACCCCGGCAATTCAATTACTTTGGAGTGAGCTTCATAGCGAATCAGTCACCTCTTCTCGACCTGACATTTGGCAGGGTGTTAGTGACTTTCCCCACCTAGAATAGTCCAGCGGAGGAGCATTCATATTAAGGCTTCCTAGCATACCCTGTTGTGCAGAACCATTTAGAAAGTTCCTTAGTTTGTTTGTGCTCTGCGCTCCTGTATATAGTAATAGAAATATAGTTCTGTTCGCTTCATGCTGGTGGTCAAAGTTGTTAATGCTACATATTTTTAAAGCTGTGAAAATGGTGATTGTTACTTTCTAATTAAAATGAATTTGACAGAAATGTGATATTACTGACATGTCTTCTAAAAATATAAAATGCAAAAATGTTAAAATACAATTGGTCACAACTCATTTTAATTATTTTTTCGTTTTTAGTCTTAAGAAAAATAATTGCCTAAAACTCATAAAGCCTATTGTCTTAGACCTTTTTTATTGCAAAGGGTGTTGTACAGATAAATCAAATTTTGATTGAATGAACAATTATTTCAAAATATATAATGAAATATAGATTTTCTCTTGCAGTTGTAGGCTACAGGTAAAACAACAAGAAAAATCCTTTGATTACTTTATAGTATTGTATAAAGACTAATTAGCATTTACAAAACAGAATGTGAAGACAAAAAACAGGACCAAATGTTTTAAAAACCACATTCATAGATATGACGTAATCTTGAAAATTCCCTTTTGTTTTTGTTAGATTTGATCTCTCGGCCGTGTGAGTGCTACTCACAATCCTTTCCTTTAGGCTGATGAGTTCTTCTTCCTCTTTCTTGCGGTTCTCGAAATGAGCCTCAATGAGCTGCTGCAGCTCATTTAAATCTTTCTCCATGCGCTTGCGGTGGATATCCTGAAAAGTATCAGCAAGTAGGTTAAATGTTACATTTTTCTTTAACAGTGCTTAAGATTACTTAATCAGACATTGACAATATTCTGTAGTCTATAATTCTCACAAAATGTGTGGACATACCCTACAGCTATGTGGTTTTTGTTATTTCTTATTAGCTCTGTCTTTTTCAGTCTGGTGATTGTATGTTTTGCACTGCAAGTTGGCATAAACATTTTCAGTTTTTTATACTGTATATTAATTAACTTCTCATAAGTGCTTTGAATTGAGTGCCAGATATGCAGTGAATTGGTTTGACAGTTTTTCGGCTTCTTAACCTTTATGTCAATATAAAAGACATTTAATCTGCCTTTCCTCAGGTGCACTTAAGTCTTGTTGAAACTTGACATGTAAAGTGTGTTTGAAAACTGCTTACCAAGTAACCATGATTCACAATCTAGTTTGAGCTTGAATGTCTGAAATTAAGGCCTAATATGCAAAAATGTCTAATTAATATGGTATAATACGTAATATTTACTCTAATAATATGATACTGTAATTTATTGTATAGTTATCATTTCAGTGCTTGATACTATTTGATGCAAAAATGTCAAGACCTCTTATGCAAATTATGTCATTTGCACGTTTCTATTAAGCATTATGCATGTGATTATAATGTACTGTGTAGCCACTATGAAGGGAGGGATTATGAAGCCATTATACAAGAACATTCAAATGAAGTTTTACCATAATATCTCATTCTGAATCACATTCTCTAGCTCTTTATAAAAAAAAAATTCCAGCTTTCTCCTTCTGCATATAATATGGGCTGTTTTAGGTCTGCACAAATGCACAAATGAACACTACTCATGGATTAGAGGCTTTGCTGATTATTCAATCAATAACAAGGGAGCATTTTTACAAGCTGAATTTTTGTTTTCTTACAATACTTTTCACATGTCCATTTGACACCACGTTGCAAACACAAGGGTTGCAACTCAGGATATTGCACATATTAAAAACAAACACTGGCTTAATAATTTTTTACATCCAGACCTTCACACATTCATAATATAATTATATTGTTTTGAATATAAAGATAAGAGTATAATTAATGTTATCATTGTTTAGTCTTTTGTTTTGCTTTCAGTCAAATATCATTTACAGTACACTAAACACCATCACTAGTATTTGCTGATTCCAAAGACTAACAACCAGTCAAAGAATTTACCATTTAATCTTTAAATTACATTGTATGTGTCCATTAAACTACAAAAGTAAAATGTTCATTGTGCATCAGTAAATATTTTATATACTGTATAAAAGAGGATTTATTCTCTATGGTCTTCTGTCTTAAGATCACTATTGTAAAGGTCATGATTTCAGCCTGGCTGTATAATAGTTATTCTGTATATATATACTGTATATCTAATTTCCTACAGCTTAGTGTTCAATCAATACTAGAAATGCAATGAAAGGTAGATACATGGCCTCATGAGACATCTAGTAAAGTCCAGCCTGTACATGAAGAATTACTCACATCAAAGTCAACTTTCTCCCCATCTGGGATTTTGGGAGGCACAAGGTTTGGCATAAATAGCCTGAAAAACACATTTAGAATGACATTACACAAAAGCTACCAAATATACAGTTAAATATAAAATATTAATTTACCAGTATACTTACTTGGGTCTTGGTTTAGCCTCTTCTGATTTTCATGAAAGAACAAATAATGATACATCATTAGAATTAATTGTTGTTAACCACTAATGCTTAAATTTTCATGAAGGTTTCCTTTGGTGAGACTTTGTGCTGTGACATAAACTTACAGTATCAAGGATGCTTTTTAATTTAACATTACTGAACACATTTTATGCATGTGACTGTATAAATACTTATTTCATTGATAACAATATACAAATTATTATAAAAAGGTTATACATTTTCTTGGATACAATAACCAGCATATTCTCATGCAAGAATAAGAAGTTAACGATTGAATATAAGTGTAAATAACCAGTTTCTTCCTTGGATTTACAAAGCCAACTGCCAAGAAATGATTAGACAATCATATGTGAACAAGAGAAAACTGGTGTTAATGCAGTGCACTCAGCAAAACAAAAGATTTGTGGTATGAAGTGATATCAAAGGCAAACCCTACTCAATCTCATAAATCTAAGTGTCACTTCTGACTTTCAGAAGTAATGTTGAATGAATTCACAATGAAATAAATTCATAAATTCCTTTAGTACCTTCTCCTTCTTCATGTTCTTCTCCAGCATCTTCAGAAAAAAAGGAACATCGTGACCGGTATTTGTGTTCAACTATGTTGACTGACCGAGCTGCGAGCCAGAGTTGGTAATAGAAGGGACTAACATAGGCAGCAGATAAGATAAAACTTTGCAAAGGAAAAGTGTCAAATGTCTGATAAGAACTGGACTTTGATAAAACTGCTTTTACCAAAGAAGGACCTTACTGCACAGCGCATTTCATGATTGCTGTGCAAAGTAAATATAATATGACAGCATATATACTATGGCAGGGCAATGGAAGCATGGAGTGGTGGCACTGTGGCTAAGGATCTGTGCCTGTGGCTGGAAAGTTGCTAGTTCAAATCCCATGGCCAGCAGGGGAATCCTATTCCATTGGGTCCCTGAGCAAGGCCCTTAACCCCAGCTGTTCCAGGGGTGCTGTATAAATGGCTGACCCTGTGCTCTGACTACAAGCTTCTCTCTCCCTGCCTGTGTCTCATGGAGTGTAAGCTGGGGTATGTGAAAAGATACATTCCTAATGCAAGAAATTGTATATGGCTAATAAAGTGATCTTATTTCATGGGCATATTTATGAAAGTATGTCACCTCTTGTGTTGAGACTGTATTGCAGTTGCTGTCTGCTTTAGATTTTTATTGCCTTTACACTGATTATATGTACACGCCCTGTTTGGGTGTGGAAAATAATATGCATTTCCCATTAAAATGAACAAAACATACTGTAGATACTGCACAGAGAGGAAGAAATTGTATACCAGAAACAAGTCCACCAAAATAAAACTAGTGTCTAAATCAGATTCAGAAAAATTATGAAAATATGTATATACTTTTTCTATAAAGGAAAAATGCATCATGTAGACAAATGATGAATGTTAAAATGTACTTGTAAGTTTAGAGTTTAAAAAATCAAAACCGACCATGACTTACTTATACACAGTTCTCCCCCACACCACATAATTTTGAAACACTTACAATTAATAAATTTAATTAATAACATACAAATATCAAACCCTTGCTATACATACCATCACTTCATTATAGGACATAGTATTTAATTTAATTTGGTTTAGATCATTAAGACCAATATCAGACATTCAGCATTGCACAATATAATAACATTATATGGAAATAATTACATTTTTGAAGTAATTTTGGACATAAGAAAGAAAATAAATGATAGAAGACTATTAAGCCCATCTAGTTTGTAGATTAGTAAATAAGTCAACTAAGTAAATGAAAAAAATGCCCATCCATTTATGACGGTCCATAGAGTTTAGGTCTCAGCCTTCTGGCTTTGAAACCTTTATCCAGAAACCCACAGCTCCTTGTTAAAAAAACATATTTTCTTTTCTCTGTTGTGAATACATTCCCTTTTAATTGCCAGGTGTAACCTCTAAAGTTTTTATTTAATTATTTTGAAGTCTGAACATAATTTGTCCTATGATTTAAATTCTGCACTGTTGTATATCGAAGCTTTCTGTTAGCTTTTCTTATCGCTTTCCTATACAAATCTACAAGAATCTACATGAATACCCAGATCCCTTTCAGATCCAACAACTCCTCAAATATGAATCACCCCTACAATGTAAAGGGTATATACTGTACTGTATACCTGTAGTGTATGCTCTGACTTCCTACCTACTGCATACCACTTTGCACTTGTCGGTATTTAATTTAATTGCCAAGTGTCAGAATTTTGAGTGTCTGTTTCTGTGTTTCTCCTGTTATTTTGGTATAAACTGCATATAATCTATTATTAATTGTATCACTACCTAAAACCTTCATAAACAGTACATCAGGAAGAGCTACTGGCTTAATATAGACCCCTGTAGTATAACACTCCACAAACTGGCCCCATTCAAGGGCCCAGGGTTTTTTTTTTTAACCCACATGCATCCTGTACATTATTTTGGATTACAACAGCCATTACCTTGGATTACAACAACTCTTGGATTAGAAAGCTCTCTGAGAAACTTAACATGTAGTGTTTTATGGTTTAGAGATATTAACTGTCCTTGTTGTTTGTTCAAGATATTCAAGTTTAAATAATTTAATTAAGTTTAACAAGCACATCTTTCCCCAATTCCATATTTACAGACATTAAAAATTATCTGTGCTTAAAGCAGAACATCTTTAAACTGTTGTCCATTCTCTACTAATTAAACATCTATCCCATTCTACATTTATAGTCAATTTACTACTTGTACATCTTTCTTTGGCTTTCCTCACCACACATTCTAGTTCAAATGTTTTTACAGTTCTTTATTGTTTGGTTAGTGTAACCTCTACAACGATACTCTATTACCCTCTTGGCAGTTCTAATGACATGCCTGAAGCTCGGTTGTATTCTTTTTCTATTGTGAAACTTGGGCCCTTTACACAATCTTCTTTTTTATTTTTGTCATTAGATCATTTTGACCTTATTTTCCTAAGCCTGAATGTTATGGGATTTCAGCATTAGCCATATAAATTAAAGTTTCTATACTTCCCATTTGCAAAGTGCCATTTGGCAATTTGCTCGTTTATGTGTTGCATTTATTTATTTTATAGTTTGCAATTAACTTTTTAATTTGCATTATGTCTAACATGTATGGTCTAGTACTGCCTGGTTATGCAGTGGTTAACATTGCAGCCTCACGGTACTGGGGCCCAGGGTTCAATTCAGGACCTGTGACATTATCTACATGAAGGTTATATGTTATCCCTGTGTTTGCATGGGTTTCCTCCGGGTGCTCTGGTTTCCTCCCACAATCCAAAGACATATTTGTAGCTTACTTGACTTCTGGAAAAAGTGGCCCTTTTGAATGTGTGCATGTTTCTGTTTGTGTGTGCCCTGCGATGGACTGGCAACCTCCCCAGGATGTGTCCTGCCTTGCATGTTCATTACTTGCCGGGATAGATTCTGGGTCCCCTGCAACACTGTATATATTAGAAAATGGATGGATGGTCTGTTCACAGAGACTCACAGGTAAATCATTCTTGCTTTCCAATATTACAAGGATAAAGTAAGTATTTCATGCTTTTCCATTTGAGCTGGATTTTCGAGTTCCTTCCAAAGGAATCACAGATCCTTGGTTTCCATGTTGTGAAATGTATATACTTTGCTTTTCAGATGCCCACATTCCCCACATTCAACAGTATGTTGGCATATTGTTAATCAGTTTTTCTTCATTCTTCCCTAGCTCACCTGGCTCCTGAGTTGCATCTTTCTCCTCTTCCTGGTCCTCTGCAACATCCTCTGCTCTTGCCTGATCATCTAGAACAGAAAAATTATCAATTTAAGAAATTTAATTTTTGATAGATCTTGTTTTTACCCTCAGATTTTGCAGTTCAATAATGAAATACTGCTTGAGTGTACTGTGAAAAATATCAGCTCTGAATTGATAATAATTTTAGCTGGTCAAAAATATGTTTTTCTGATATGTAGTATTTTTTTTAATTTAATGCCCTATTTAATTAAATCTAGTTATTTAATGCCCTATATCAGGAATGTACAGTATACACCACCTTACTTAAGGTTTTACATTACTAGTTACATAATATTTTAATAACTTCAGACTAACTCTGTACTACTGATTTCAACAGAATATCTGATATTTTATAAAGAAAAACATTTCTGTAGACTAAACCGGAAATACTTTAGAAAAAAAATATGATACACACCTTCACCACAGAAAAATGCTTGACAAGGTAGATTCAGACAATCCTAAATGCTTAATCAACAGTATGTAATATAATAGGAGTATCCTGCATTAATTTGACCATTTTATCTAAAAAACCCAGCTGTATTTCAATGAACAACCTTTAAACATAGTGGAATGTCTAGCTCTCTGACAAACTTTTCTTGCCTGGGTCTACAGTAAATACCAGAATTCTGATGAACAGGACTGAGCTACGGAAAACAGATGTGTTTATAACTGAAAATTATAGTTGATGTTATATTTCTCACACACCAAGTGTCTAGACTTGTTGTTTTATATTACAAGGTTCAGCTCAGCAGAAAACACACTAAAAGACATGGTGCCTATAGACCTTTTTCATCAGGGCTGGCAACACATGCGAACTGTTATGAAGCACTTCAGCACCACATGTTTGAATAGGCAATACTACCTTCTTCCTCCTCCATCTCTTCTATCACCTCCTCCTCTGTGCAAAGCAAGAGCAGAAAGTTAGAAGCCAGCAGAGGGTGAACACAGACACAACATGCAGCAAAAAGCATTTGCTTTAGCATTTGATTAATGTTACTCTCATTGCTCAAGTAAAAGGCATTATTTGTTATATGCCTTCTACCCATTCCATCCCCTAATTCCATACTGATTCCAGACACCCAACCTATCCCTACCTGAAATGTTTTCCCTACATATTGGAAATACTGAAAACCTTCTAGAGTTCTAAAAGGCAGATAATTCACATTTATTCAAAACACAGCACAAGTGGTATGTACTCCATGGCCAAGCCTCAATATCTTCTAGAGTTATAAATAACTAAAAGCACTGAAGATAAAGCTCGAGAGAAGGGCTGAATGGCAAGTGCTGCAGAACAACACAAATGTGTGCCTATCAGCTATTTCTCTGAAGGGAAGTGGCAGCTGACCTTAGCTGTGAGCAAAGCAATGGCCATCACAAATCCCTACCAAACGCACTTTCAAATGCGTTTCAAGGAGAATAGGTTCAATGTGTCCCTAAGCTGTAAGAATACTGTGAGCTGTTAGACTTCACCAATATTTCTGTTCAATGAATGAAAAACAGGTGGAGTTTATGTGTGGGATTGCTCCCTTAGGGGTACTTCAGAGTAAAGATAGAAATTGAGATAAGATTATTCCACTACTGCTGCCATGTCATAGCGCTTCAGAAGCTAAAGGTAAAGCCCCAAAGGAGACACTGAGGAGGGGCTGTAAAGAGGAACAAAGGACAGCTGAAGACCTCTGAAACATAATTCCATTGCTGAGTTTATTCCTACCTTACTGCCAAGGTTAAAATAAAAACATTCTTGATGCACATGTGCCAGTTGTCTAAGTAACAGTATTTATTTGAAGATGTACATTGTGCTGTGAATACTTGGGAAACATCTGAGTTACAGTTTAACTGTTATTTCTAAGTAAAATAAGATCAATATAGGAAGCAAAAATTCAGATATGTTATTTAAGATAGCAACTTACTTCAAGTTTCACTACTTTCAGGAAAAAAGTAACTTGTTTAAAAGTAACATGTTGGTTCTTTCTGCTAGTAAAACTAGTAAAAAGTCCAGACTCATACCCCAGGAATAATGCCTGAGTTTATGTATCCTTATTCTTAAAATGGTTTTAAATACTGCTAAAATATGGTCATCCAAGAGAAAACACAACCAAAAAAATGTTAAAGTTTAGAACAAAACATACAATCCATTGTGTATCTCATGTTAGAGGCAGCAAGTGAAGTCAGAAGCTGTTATTGTTAAACTTTACCACTTTTTCTGTGAAGCACATACCCTCAGCAGCTTCTTCCTCTGGTAAGGATGTAAGGAAAGAAAACAATTGTTAAAGATTTCTAGTCCATCAGAAGATGAGCTTGAGTTGTTCCATGTACTTAGAGAAAGAATAAAGACATACTCTTCAAAGACCCAATTATTTATATACATTTTCCTTTCACGTGTCACAAATTGCACATTTTCATAATAATAATAATAATCATCATCATCGTCATGATCATCATCTTACCTTCCTGTTCCCTGTAAGATAAAGCAAAAATAGAGGTTTATTAGTGGATTTCCAGTGCAATAATGTTGCTATTTAAATATTATAATAATATTTTTTCTAGTGTTTTCTCTGTACCACAATATAAATAATATCCTAGTCAAATATCACTCCAGTACGCCGATTCTCAATGTTATGTTTTAAAGTTGCCCAGTTTTTTTAATATATTACTTAAATTTCTCAAAGTATCCTATGTTGTTAACTAAATCTCTCTACTTCAAGAATACTGTACCTGCACAATCATGTTTTGTATGTCTTGGCAAATATTTATTATTATTATTTTATTTTTTATCATTAAAAAGATGATAAAAAATGCCCTAAATGAAAATAACAACTGAGGTAAATCAGGAAAATGCCTTATTTTTAAACCTCTTGTTTTGTCTGGGTTGATGGGACTTCATCTCACACAGTATAGTAATCATAATGTGATTATGATAATAGCAATAATCTGGAAGTGGCACCAGACAAAATTAAATTTATTAAGGCATAGTAGAGAGCTTCATCTGAATGAGTTTAAATAAACAGAAAACAATCAGTATACTTTAAAATGGAACAGTTACAGGTGAGGCACATACTGTACCATCTCTTAATAGCTATAGTGATTTACTCTTAGGGTGACTGATCATAATTTAGCAATCAGAAGAGCTTTATTAAAACATTTTCACCAATAAATAAATAGTATTTTCAATTTACACTATGTGTGTAAAAACTTACTCATAGTCCTCTGCAACTTCCTCTGTATCAGACATCTTTAGTTAATGATCTGTACAGTGAGAAACCAAAGTGGCCAAAGGTGAGTGAGTGACCAAAGGAAAACTGTAATTTGAGTTTATATCTTGTATTTCTTTGAATACTGTATAATGTATGTTGTTGTTGCCAGCTCTAGTCTTAAATAACTTAGAACTATGTCTTCTGGCATTCATTCTAACTGAACTCTAATGTACCTGTGCTACTTGATGCTTTTATCTGTTTGCTTGACAAGACTTTGGATTGAATGTTTCTGCATTCAGTCCTGTTTTTTAAAAATACTGTCTCAGTAATGTAGGTTTATGTTTTCCAATAACGTCAGTTTATTGAACTATGCTTTGTCCTCTTAACTTTTACAGAGGTCCAGATAGTTACATTTCAAGCAATACACCTGAATGAGGGGAGTTGGAATAGCAAATTCTTTTTCATCATCTTACAAGCCAAAAGCAAAAATGTTTCTCAAATAAAAAACTCCAGAGAACAGACAAGCCTCAATGCATTTACATAAAGTACAATTTTATAATATAAATAGCCTCTAGATCATTCATTAATCATGTTAGCTTCTATTATACCTATTACCACTGCCAAAGTTATGAGGGTTGTGACTACCTCCATGTCCATGTGACTAGACTGTTGATCCTCAAACCAAACAGGTAAGGCCAAACATTGCAACAAATGCTTTGTCTTTAATTAATTTTGGTGTTTGTACCTATTGAACTGTTATTGTTTCATTGGTAACTTAAATGAGAATGAATATACATTTATTTTTTACAAATCTTCTTTTTACTGTACATTTCTTATACTCTTTATCCGCTTTTACACAATACAATTTTATATTTTTCTACATAATGGATTTTCATTTTTTTAAATGTGTGCAATGTCATAATAATCATGGGATATTAGACGTACCTGTAGAACTGGAAGGGGAAGTCGGATGATCTCGCAGCTTGTGTGACCAGAGTATAAAGCCCTTATCCCACCCAGAACACCATAAGTTTTAAAACTGCCCCAGTGTCATGTGACAGATGCCTGAATGTAGAAAGGGTGGGATTCTAAAGCCACTGAGCGTGAGGTTAGGCCCCCAAGCTCCTATTGTCTTATTTTTAACCCAAGTGGCAGTCTGTCCATCCTCATACTTACACTCCCAAAAAAGGATGGTTCTTTGTTTTGGCAGGGAGTGTTATTTTCAACCACTATCTGGATATATGCACTTCTCACACTTGGGCAGATTGCCATTAACATAACACAGGCTTTTGTCAGGCTCCTTAGCTGACGAATGCTAACAAGAATCTCCCTTCTGATGCCCCCCTGCCCTTCAGCATTAGGCATGACCAGCTTTTAGCCTTTAAATACTTTCCATCTACATGTTGAACACTTTTTTCCACTGGCTGTGCATTGGTTTTAGAAATACAGTATGTCGTGTCCATGTACTGTATAATTATGCACAAACTACAACAGCTGTTGTCACTGTCTGTTCATTTACATCAAAATAAATAAATCATGACCATTCATTTATCTTACTGTCTTCAAAAAGTCTTCAGCTTTATTTTTCATATTAAAGGAACAGGACTGAAAATCAATTGTGTGGTAAATAACAAAAAATAAACTTTCTAGTCTTTTGTTTTGCTGTGTATTGTCCATATTAAGACCTTTTCCTGTCTTTGTGGTACTTAAAGTTCTGGTATCCAGTACAGTTTTATTTAATATTAATACGTACTTGGCCTCCTCAGTTTTCTGTTTGGTTAGCAATTTAGATATTCACTATTTTTCATTTTTAATGTGCTTTTGCAGTTTAATATGAAGCAGTTTTTATCCAGCCATCCAGAAACTTACCATTAAAAACAACTATTAAAAAAAATCTGAATTTGTTTCAGAGAGCATCTAGAAATTTCATTTTAGTGCACCAAATACTGTTGTTTTTCTCACATTCTTTATGAAGGTAATATTTCTCCTGTACTAAATTACCAAAAGTTCCAATTGTAGATTATACATTGTGGTTTATAAATACTAGAGAAACCCAGATAAATTTGTTAAAGATACACTGTACACAAAAAGAGCCATACATACAGTACATGAAGAAAAATGACTTTTATTTTTAAAATGACATTTACACAGTTGTAAATATATGATGTTTTCCATTTTGGGAGGAAAAAAGCTAACAGTAGGTACTTTTGAAAGTTCTGGTGATTCTAAATTGTAAAGGTGTCTAGTTTTAATTATTCTGCAATAATAGTACATTTGATACTCAGAAATATAGAAATATAGAATGCAATATGTCATTTTCTGAATTGTTAATTTGACCTAACAGAATTTACACAATCAGTTGCATTACAACTTTTCTTTTTTACTACTGATCAATAAATTGATCACATATTAAAATCTTATTAAGCATTACCTACACAAACATTTGTTTAGAGACTGCATGTACTGTATGAGTGTTTTCTTTTTCTTCAGGCTTCCTGTAAAAAAATCATCTGGAAAACATAAAAAGAAAAAGAATCTAGAATTTAGACATTTTTTTGGCTTTCAAGAAGTAAATATCCCTTTATAAGTTTTCTGCTAAATATGTGTCGGTAAATGTGGGCATTCTGGGCCTTGTTTCTCCTATACAAGTACTCTGCTTCACACTTCTATTGGTTCCCTCTCTGCTCCCATCCAATTCAAGTTCCTTGCTCTTACCTACTGCGTGGTCTACCACTCTGGTCCTTCTCACCTCTGGTCTTCTACTTCTACTTCTCTAATTTTATATTTGTCTTCTGCATGTTATTGTCCCCTCTTCTTATCCACTGCACTACTTCACTCCTATAGTGTAACCAGCCACTTGCAGACAACTACAAAATGGAGCAATAGTTAGACCTCCTGAAGGAAGAGTCATGGTTTTACAGTAAATCCCAGATGGGAATACTATTGCTTACTATTACCCTTGACCAAAGCACAATCAACTACAGTATGTTCACTGGTACTAAAATATGCATGCATATTTTTTAGTAATATGGATATCCTCTGTAAGTGGTTTTGGACAAAAGCATCAGTAAAAACAACCAATACTACTAACAATTCTACATCTTTTTAAAGCTTGTCTAATTTTTGTAATTCTTATATCTACAATTTGGTGGCTATACTGTGATTTCTTAAACCACAATTAGGATTTTTTTATTTAGTCCTATCTTGCTCTTCATCTGCTGTGCTAGTTTTCATAATAATACTCCTATATCATTCTATATCACAGGAGAGCTGAAAAATATCCCAAACAATGGGTGCAACCTGGATGCATTGCACGGCAATCACAGACATAAACACACACTCACACCAGGGCCAACCTTTATAGCAGCCAATTAACCTACCAGTATGTCTCTAGACTGTGGGAGGAAACCGGAGCACCTGTAGGAAACCCACACAAACGTGGGAAGAACATACACACTCCACGCAGACATCACCCCAGGTCCAGAATTAAATCCAGGGTCCCAGCACTGCACCCATTATATTATCATAATATATATTCCTTACTAACTTATTATCATTATAATATTTAACTGCTTAAAAATGCCAGAATTAAAACATTGATTACTTCAAAACACTCAAATAGACTACAGATTTATATACAGTATAGCAGATACAAAGTAGTATATGTACTGAGATAAGTAATATCTTGTTTGTAATGAGAACAATTACAAACAAGATCTGACAATTTGGCCTATATAACCTAGTCTAATCTAACTAGTGTAACCAATTAAGTTAGAAATTTGAAAGAAGCCAGGGTATCAGTTCCAACAATATGGCTGGGTACTGGGATAATGCGTGAAGTTTGACCACGCTTTTAACCACCGGCGTACACTTCCTTTACTCCCTTTTGTGTGGAATCGATCCATGGAAAGTAAGCAAGAGCTAATAGAGAGAACAGAGACCAGCTAGAAACAAGGAGAAATATTCCCTTTACTGAGAATGAGTTAGCGGTAAGGCCTTTGGCGTGGTTCTGTGATGAACGCCACAACAGCCACATGAGCATTTAATATAGGATACCCAATTAGGGACAACCATGTTGTTCATTAAGGAACTGCATTCCCACACAGCTGTCAGAATATCAAGATCCTCTGGTGGTGAACAGCGATAACATGGTGAAAAGTGAATTTTTACCACAGTGTCACAGTACCTATTTCCATACTATCACTATTGTGCATTTAATAATGAAATAGCTCCTTTTCTCAGCCTCAAAAGCACTTTGTCATTGTTTACAATTATTTGGAACATTTAATAATAGTAGCAGTGATAGTAGTAATCATAACTACTATGCTATAATAAGTACATGTACTGTATATACAGACTTAAACATGATCAGGTACTTGCATAAAACGCCAGAAAAGGTTATTCTTTTAAAAGGAAAGAGGATAGAATACTGATTTATAAAAGGCCATTAACAAAACCCTTAATCTAAAGATTCCTGTTTGAAGATAAAAAATAAACTGACTGATGGAATTAGGTGATAAACCATGCATAAATCTTTCAATAGGGCTTTGGATGTGTGTCGTATCCAAGGGGCAGTGCACAAGGAACTTAACTTACTCAGGATAGCACATTGTGAACCAGAGGCAGTGCCAAGGGTAAATATGCTAGCACAAAAAAGAATAAAAGATTGTCCATAAATAGATCTGAGACCCATTACCAGTGTAATGCCTCTACTATACTGCCTGAGGAAATTGTTATCAAAACCGAGTTTCCCCCAACTCAGGTATATTCATTTGAAATGGGCAATTCAAGCCAGCATTTTTGTAGCTGTCAACTCTCTCACTTTTATTTATTGTTTCGCTCACTTGCCCATACAGCTGTAGAAGCCGATAACAAGTTTCCTCCTGTAAACTAACTAAATCTATACTGTTTCCAAGGTAACATTTTCACTGACTTCATTGTTGACGGGTAACATAATGAAAACCTGAATTAAAGATATAAATCAAAGGAGATTTATCCTGTGAAGACTGGTTTCAGGGCTGACATATTCATTTAAAAGAACAGGTCTTATTAGTTCACAAAAATGTTTAAATGTTAAAAAACTGTAACTCATTAGCAAAGCAAGAAAACAAGGTTAAGCATTTTTTGTTTAAAATGTAGACTTGAAAATTGTTTCATATCACCCAGATTGGATTTTTGACCACATGTCAGAGCATGTAGCATGTAGCATGTGAACCTTTGGTACAATATACTATTTAAAGTTTTAGTACCAGTAAGACTTTGAACACAACCTGAGGCATGTCAATTTTTTCCTCAGTTAGTACAGTGAAATATTTGTTTGAAACTGTAACCATTTCATTTTCATTTTCTAAAAACTTCCCATTATCTCTGAGACAGTAAATTACATTCTCTGTTCTTTTGCTATTGTAATAGTGAAAAAAAATAATTTATTTTAGCTTCAGTTGTTATATTTGAATTTATCTTGGTACATTTAATGCTATTAATACCTTTTTGACACATGTCATTGTACTTTTTCTTTTTATGGGTGTTATTATTTTTAATAAATGTAGTAAGTGCTTTGTCTTAAGACCTGGTTTTTTATACTATAGTTAACCAACATCTCAGATCCCGAAATTCTTTTCTGGAATACATACTAAGCTGGTAAGAGGCGACATTCCTACTGTTTGGTTTTGTCTTATTTTGAAGGTTTAGGAGGCAGCTCCTCAGCTCTGTTTTCCCAGGTATGCCATTTACTGGAGATGTCCACGTTCCTCAAATCCTAGGAAGATTAGCATTAGAAACCATTTAATTCTCCTCATGTCTCAAACGAAATAGCTTTACTTTTTCATTGAGAGCTAAAAGTTTTTAGAATATAGTATATAAAATGTAATCATCATATGCAACAGATAAAGAATAAAAATGGTAAAAAAAACTAATTAAATGAGAATAGAGGAGACTACTTCTACTCCAATATCAAAACAAAGGCAGTTACAGAGAAAGAGACTTTCTGTAAAAACTTTCTCTGTAAAATTGCAACACTGCCCTCTAGCCCCATCAATCTTAAATTACAACGAAAAAAGAAAACAAAGCTCAGATCATGCAAAAATATTCCCAATCTCTTCTCATAGAGTAATTTAAAGACAGTGCTTCACACACTCTTACAGTATAACTAGATTATTATGCCTATGTGTTTCAGTGAATTTTTCCTTATCAATTTGACAGTTATGTTTCTGCAGAGCAACACTTCTCTAAATATTAATGATTTCAATAATATTTAATATTTAAAGGAATCTAGCAAGAGAGAACAACAGATATGGAAAAGAAGAAATCAAATTAATTTTACTTCTTTTTAGAAAAGGCTTCCAACCATATGAAGCTACTTCACCATGCTAGTCTGGTTCGTAGGCAACTGCCGGGATCAAGCCTTATTCCTTTACAACAACTAGTACAAACCAAGTTCATGTTCAAGTTTATTGTCATATGTACATCAGTACAATGAAATGTGTTTGCATGTTTACTTGCATGTTTCTTCACAATATAAATGACATAAAAGAAGACATAATGTAAACATAACATCACATTGTTGAGGACAGGAACACAGATACAGTTGCAGCTGTAATCTTCAGCAGCATTCAGACACATGGGTTGTATGGGGGGGTAAGAGGATTTAAGAGGTGGAGTTAAAGAGTCTTTGGGAGGCTGTGGGAAAGAAGCTTTCTTTGAACTGCTAAATCTTTTACCAGAAGGAAGAAGAGAGAAAATTGCATTCCCAGGGAGGTTTTGATCCTTGATTATATTATTTGCCATTCTGAGGCAGCACGTAGTGAACAGAGGGGAGTTCTGTACCAGCGATGGCCTGGTCTCCAGTAACTTCTGTAGTTTTAAATGGTCATGAGCTGAGCAAGTGTCATACCAAACTAATGCAACAAGTGAGAATGCTTTCTCTTTTATATCTGTAGAAATTTGTTTGTGGATTTGTTTTTGGTATATGTTTGTGGTGACATACCAAATCTCCTCAGAAAGAAGAGGTTTCTCGTGATTACTTCATCTGTGTGATTGGACCAGGTCAGACTGTTGGTGATGTGAATGCCCAGAAACTTGAAGCTTCTGACCATCTTCACGACAGGAGTCTCGCCTCCTTGCTGCTTCCTAAAGTCAACAACCAACCAGTTCCTAAGTTTTGTTGACGTCGAGGTTGTTGTCCTGGCACCATACCAACAGATCCTTAAACTCTCTCCTGTACTCCATCATCAACATTATTTGTGATGAAACCTACAATGGTGGAGCTGTCAGTGAGTTTAAATATGGAATTGAAGCTGTGTCTAGTCATACAATTGTGGGTCAAGAAGGAGTAAAGTAAGGGACTGAGCACACAGCACTGTGGGGCTCCTGTGCATCTCCTGTGGATCTCTGTGTGGAGATCAGTGGGGAGGAGATACTGTTGCTATTGTCACAGATTGAGCACTGCCTGTCATTAAGACATTATACTGTATCTCCCACTGCTTTGTAGAACACTATGCTAGTAAAGTAAAGATACAAGGTATCTGTTTGCCCCAACTCATCAATACATCTTATTCCCTCAAAGCAGTGACTTATAAACTGTAGTAGGATAGATAAAATAACATTTTCAAAACATTTCAGACAAGAACACTTCCTCATCTTTTTATAAAGATATGCAGACACAGTACAGGAAATGTGTTGTTGCTAAAAAATATTCTGTGCATGATGTTTTGATAGTTAGAATAAATGTTCTTTACAAGAGGTTTCAGTGTTTGAAGTGTTTGAAGATGCGCTCTTGCACACCTGAGTCACGAGTCAAACAGCAAAGCAAGGGAGAAGCAGAAAATATTTAAGCATCCATCAAATTTACATATTAAAATACTATATTTAGTAACTATGAGACATTATATGAAAGCACATTAAAACTGACAATTTAAATAAGCACTTGGGTGTAAAATATAAAGATGTAGTTCAGCTGGATATTATTAGGCCTTGAAATCATTAAATATTGAATTTAATTCTTTGACATGAATACATGTATCTTTTGTGTTTCTGCTTATTAAGGGCCAAACAGATACACTTCAGAAAATACAATTTCAATGCCACTTTATATTTTCACAAAATTAGTCTTTTCAAAATCAATTTTGAATATCTTAAAATATACAGTGTGAGACTGGAGTAGAACACAATACATCTCTTCCTTTTCAGCCTGTACTGTCGACACGAGTGCCCTTGTGAAGACTACACAAGGCTGCTCAGAGATATAATGCAGGTAAGGGCAGAAGAAAGTAAAAACATAAATCATATACAGTTAGCATTCAGACAATGGTATTTTGGAAACAGGAACACAATCAATTTAAACATTATTAAAATATCCATGGTGCATTGCTGGATATATTAAGTCTTATTTCAGCAAATTCCCAATAATCCCAACGTTATGGTTTCCGGAGCACATATTTTGTTGTTTTTCAGATAGGAGATGACAGATGACAGATTTTTAGCATACTTTAGAAACCTTTGAGATAAGTTTAGTACGAGCAGCTCTAGTTAGCAGTGATAGCAGTACAAATTATAGCAAAAAAGGGATACATCTGGATGAGGATGACACTTACTGAAAGCTCAGATTTCTGTGCCCTGGAGACCCAGCGATTAATTCGTTCTGATATTCCAGTTGAGAAACTGAGATGTTTCTGTTGGAAAATAAAACAAAACTGTTTCACGTTATATGCCCTTAGTCAAACATATTAATCCATTTATTTTCAAGACCCATGGTGGCATGAAGGGAAAGATAATATGATGAACAGAATGTGGAGATGGCAACAGATGGTATCATTACTACACTAAGAAGGGATATACATATACAGTACATTCATAGACAACACACTGCTGCATTCATGCCAAAAAGAAATCCCATTGTATTGCAGTCTAGTTTATATATATAAAAAAAAAACATCTGCACTGGCTTGCAAAATATTTTTAGACATAGACGCAAAACATGGCAAACATTTGAAAACCAGTAAAATACTTTCCAAAATCAAAATTCCCAGCAATACAATACAAAAACTAAAACAATATATATACCAAAAAGGTATTCATAAATGACAACATACTTTAAAGAGTGCCAGAAGCTTGCGCACATTATTTACACATGCTTGTACAAGACTATGTAATATAATGTACTTCAAAACCTTCAGGGGCACATTGACAAAGTACATAAACTTTATTTTGTTCAGTATATATCATTCTTAATGAAAAAGCAATCCTGCAAGAAAACCAGACATTCTGGATTATTCAAAAGTCAACATATTTATGATTTCCTGCCATTTCATTTTTTTTCTGGTGAAGTAAGCACTGCATGGTTTTGTCTGTGATGTTCCAAAGGGATTTTCTGCAAGAAAACTTAAAAAACCTTGGAACAAAATAAAGTGAATTTCCTTTGTAGGACATTTTTGTAAGAAGTGCTGTATACCTCTCTATATGCATTACATTAACATTGTCATTCATAATTATTATTCCGTAGTTAGGTTAGTTACGACACTAATAAATGAAAGAGAGAGAGGTGAGATATCCTTCCATCCATTTTCTAACCACTAACTCCTGCTGGAACAGGCTGAGCAGTTCCTGTGGGAGTTTCAGACACTCCAAGGCCAGTGTGTCTTAGTTCTCCCCCTTCTCCTCCCAGTGGGATCTGTCTGGTATTCCTCTAACAGGTGGTGTCCGGGGGGCATCTTCATCAAATGCCCAAATCTCAACTGGCTCCTCTCTATCCAGAGCAACAGTGACTCGGCAGCTATATATATAGATGATATATGGCTGATAAAAATAATCTATAAATAGATATACAGTAGCAATTATATAGAGATAATACATGATATATAGTGATATACAGCAGCCAGCAGCTATATCACCCTGCAGCTCACATCTGACAACCTACTCGTACTAAGCAGATGTGAGCCTGGCCAGTACCTGAATGGGAGACCTCCTGGGAAAGTTAAGGTTGCTGCTAGAAAAGGTTTAAGTAGAACTTGTAAGGAGAGCTCAACCTACAGTCCAATGCCCTGGTATAGTGATGGAGACACTATATTGTAAAAAAGTATAGTTGCCGTCCTTCAGATGATATGTAAAACTGAGTTCTTGCTCATCCACACCTACAGCCCTGTCACTACAGATCTATGGCTGTGGCAGTTATCGCAGTCACAAAGGACGCAGCCACACCAGAGTCTTCTGGCACTGCCTCCTGAATGGAGGATGTATCCATTGGATTTAGGAGTTCCTCAAAGTGCTCCTTCGATGTCTCATCAACATCCCAAGTCAAGGTTGACTTTTCCCTGCCCTGCCCGAGCAACATTCTGCCTTCCTCTCCTGAGTCATCCAGTGGTTGCCAAAACATCTTTGAGGCTATCCCATAGTCATCTTCTGTGGTCCCTCCAAACATCTCCCATACCCGGGACTTAGTTTACTTAGGGACTTAGCTGCAGCCATCTGGGCCTACTCACACCTCTAAACCAAACGGCCAGTACGAATCATGCAGAATATATTTATCATAACTCACCTAGCTAAGGTAATAGGAGTCTCGCCATAAGGGCTGTCCACACCACCCACCCACCCCTTTATTGTGAGGATTAAAACAGGGAATTGCTGTGGGGGTGTATATGGGGAGGGGGGAGAAGTAAGAGAGAGATACAGAAAGTCCTGATTTAAGACATATAGTTCATACAGGTGAGTGGAACAGTGCTAACCTTCCTCCCGGATTTCTATAACTTTTGTTATAATAACATTTGTTGTAATCAGCAATATGATCATTATCATGATATCATTATATTATCATTATAATTTATTGGTCACAATAGGAGAATCAGCAGGAACTATTAGCAGTAATATTCAAACATCTGTACCTGTTTTGAATTGCTAGAACTGCCTTCCACAGTAGCTCCATCCTTTTCAAACACTCCTCTTTTCCTTGCAACTTCATGTACCAGCAAGAAGAAGTCTTTCTGAGTTGCACTGGGGGACTTAATGGTCTCTGATTTCTGTCAATGGAAAAACAGAATACCAAGAAATGACAAAAAATCATAAAAATTTGATTAATTTAAAGTAGCAGAGGAAACATGTGGATAATATCTGTTCACCTACTGTACCTGTGCAGCCAAAGCTAGCTTCTCCAGCTTCTCCTCGATTGTGCGAGATGAGATTCTTTGCCGCGAGCTGAAGGAATTGCCAGACCACAAAGTCAGAAAACACAGTTCAGCACTTCCACTTAATATTTGCTCAATACACCCCCACTTTGTTTTTCTTAATATAAATCTGAGTAACATTTTATGATAAACAGAATTGCTTGCATCTTTATTGCAAGTTTCTTCCCAAAGGATCTCATATTGCTTTACCTATACTGTAGGAAGGAAACCACTTCTTCCCACACTGAAACAGGACCTGCATGGGTGATACACAGTAGCCAATCTGTGATAGAAGCTCCAGGACTTAACAAATCAGGTAGAGAAATTTGTAATTACTTCACCAACTGAATGAAGAGGGAACATTTATAAAGACCAGATTGTATAAGCCCTGAGAGGAATTTACCCAGGACACTTCCTATTCTTTGGGAAAAAAGTGATGTGGAATGACCATCTAGTCAGGACCTTGGTTTAACATCTAAAATGAAAGAGTGAAAGACCTCCTATAGCACAGTGTCCCCAACCATATACAGCCACTGGTTTCAGAAAATTCTGGTCCAGAAGGAAGAATGCCACCTACTAGACCACCAACACCACTCGTAGCACCAACTGATTGATTTTCTATTGAATATGTCACATCCTAGTACTGATCAGGTCCAGCCTTGCTTATAATCTGAGATCTAACAAGATCAGACTACAGTACATGGCCGTTTATACTTCTAAAACAATATATGGTTAACAATTAATTAAAATATTAATAGAGCATTATAGATTTTTTGGAGCACTGGTAAATCAGATAGCAAAGGCATCTAGTTTCTGACCGGAAGGTCCCAGGTTCCATCCCAGGTAGGGGCAAGCGATGTAGCTTGCTCTAATTCCTTCTAGATGGCTCTCAGGTCCACTCAGCCTGCTTTCCAATTGAGTACCGGGGCTTAATCCTGGCCGGAGGATGAATGCTGACCACATGACCTTCACTTCCAGTATTGGATAGTCAAGAAAAATGGTGACTCTTGCCCCCTATTCCCCATGGGCCTTTATGGCCTGAAAAGGGACCTACCTACCTATTATAGATTTTGAGACAGATATTAATCTTTATGGAGAAGTTTTTAGAAACTGTTATTGGTACAGGCAGCATTGTTACTACTGTACCTTGTAGCCTGATTTTCTCAGAAGATGAACAAGGTAGGGTTTGCTCAGCACTATGATAGGAGAACTCTAAGGTAAATCATTTTGCTCCTGTCAAAGGTGTGGCTGGGCCAGTAGGTGACACATATCCCCCTCAACAAGAATTTCCAAGCCAAAGTCCAGTGTGATGATAGAAGATACAGTGCAGTTGGATGTGCTACCCTTTGGGTGAGATATTAACCCACAGTCCCAAATATGTGGCTTTTAAAGATACAATAGAACTATTTGTAATCAGAGGGGAACTAAATGCTTAATTTAATTTGTTAAGTACTTTTTAGAATCCTCTTGGATGACAGTTGCACACAAAACGCAATGAATTATCAATATTATCAAGTGTCACTAAGGATTATTGAATAACAATTGAATGACAACTGAGCTTTTTTAATACCACTCAATACATACAAAGGAGAGTGTTAGGAATCCCTGGTGGGAAGATAAAAGGATCCTGTGCAGACGCAGGCACGGGTAGTAGATGAGGAAGGCAAACAATCCAAAACAAGAGGCAAGGTTGTGGTCAAAAGGCGTAAGGTAAGTCGCAATCCAGGGAGTACACCGGTGGCAAACAGTCCGAGGAGAGAGGCGAGGTCCAAATTTGAAAAAGCAGAAGGGGAGTCCAATAACCAGAATAAACAAGGTACGGGGAAAAACGCCAGGTAGAGCTCTCAAGGAGTAGACTCAATTCAGAGCAGCGGGAAGCAGGTTAAGATGGTATAAATAGCACTGCGTCCCGGACGGTGGAGTGAATGCAGGTGGGTTAACACGTGCGGCGGCGTTTGTTAATAATCACCCGCTGTTGGTGCTGATTAGATTGCTTAAGAGTTGGTCTTAACTGCCTGGCGGTCGTGACAGAGATATGTTAAGTTTTATTAGATGTAGTATTGCAAATAGATTAAAACCTGTGCTCTAATATTATAATAAATTCACAAACTCAGAGGTGAATGGACTTTTCTGGGGTCAGCTAATTAAATCAGAAAACATTTGATCATCTCTTTCATCTCTGCTACCAATGTTGAAGTAAAACATCATGAATGCCATATTCTACAGTCCAGACTTCTGTCCTTGCCAGTTTATTGAAATCTGTCTTTTGAGTTCCATGTGAAAAATTTGATTAAGGCGTCTTTTTTTCACCTTAGAAATATTACCCACATTAGCAATTTCTATTAATGTCCGGTGTTGGGTACCTGATCCATGCATTTATAACATCAAAGCTTAATTTCTGCAACTCTTTACTCTATGGGCTCTCTAACACTCATCTCAACAAGCTGTAATATGTCCAAAACTCTGCAGCTAAACTGCTAACTCACACCAGACCATGGCAGCATATCACTTGAATGTTCAGGTCTCTACATTGGTTGCCCATAACGTCACATATTCAATATGAGATCTTGTCAATGACTTTCAAGGCTTTAAATAATCTGGCTCCATCATACATCTCTGAATTCCCCCCTTTTTACACTCCCTCCCAAAGGCTCCAGTCATCTGAGGCTGGTCCTTTTTTTCATTGTACCCTGGACTAAATCACAGACTTAGTCAGTCAAATTCAAACTGAAAATGTATCTTTTTACCAGGATCTCTGTCTGATTGCCTAAATTCTGTCTTTATGATCCTGTGATTCCTTTTTGCTTTTTGCCTTTAAAACTTTTTGCCTTTTCTTATGCTAAATTTGTCTCATTGCTAAATTTGACACCACTGGGAACTGTCAATCACAGTGAACCTGGGTTGTTAACTCTTGGTTCTGTTAAAGGCTCAAACTAGGTACTCACACCTATTGCATGTATTTCTAAAGAATACTCTATGTATTTTGTCAGTTAGTTGTTGCAGATAAACAGTAGTTTGTGTCTTCTAAGTTATCTAGGTTTATCTACTCTGAGTCTTTACTATTGGGGGAAGCACTATTATGTTTTATCAGTTTGCTTACTAGGTGTCAACAACCAGATTTCAGAACTGTAAGTTCAGTCATTTATTGAATCTTTTTAAGATCCCTATTTATTAAAATGATCATCTTAACCTGACTATCCCAGATTTGTCCCTTATTTATAACCTCATTTTTATGGCCTGTGATGCTTATTAATACTTAATAATATAATAATATTAATAATTAATAATAATTGCTTACAATATATAGCGCTTTTCTGGACACTCCACTCAAAGTGCTTTACAGGTAATGGGGACTCCCCTCCTCCACCACCAATGTGCAGCATCCACCTGGATGATGTGACGGCAGCCATAATGCACCAGAACGCTCACCACACATCAGCTATCAGTGTGGAGGAGAGCAGAGTAATGAAGCCAATTCATAGATGGGGATTATTAGGAGGCCATGATTGGTAAGGGCCAATGGTAAATTTGGTCAGGACACCGGGGTTACACCCATACTATGGTGTAGTAAGTTTTCGAGAAGCACCCTGGGATTGTTAATGACCACAGAGAGTCAAAACCTCGGTTTTATGTCTCATCCGAAGGATGGATATATAAATATCATTAAACAGGTATAAAACTTTTATAAGCATTGCTTTAACACAAATTAGGATCTACATGTCTTCTTTTCTATAATATATTAACAAGGACAGTAAATAGACCAAATAAATAAACCAAATAACAAGTACTGGAGCTACTGTAAATAGACAC